ATGATTGGAGGGGGTGTGGTGCAGACAGTGCTATGATTGGAGGGGGTGTGGTGCAGACAGTGCTATGATTGGAGGGGGTGTGGTGCAGACAGTGCTATGATTGGAGGGGGTGTGGTGCAGACAGTGCTATGATTGGAGGGTGTGTGGTGCAGACAGTGCTATGATTGGAGGGTGTGTGGTGCAGACAGTGCTATGATTGGAGGGTGTGTGGTGCAGACAGTGCCATGATTGGACGGTGTGGTGCAGACAGTGCCATGATTGGACGGTGTGGTTCAGACAGTGCCATGATTTGGAAGGTGTGGTGCAGACAGTACCATGATTTGGAAGGTGTGGTGCAGACAGTACCATGATTGGACAGTGTGTGGTGCAGACAGTGCCATGATTGGACAGTGTGTGGTGCAGACAGTGCCATGATTGGACGGTGTGTGGTGCAGACAGTACCATGATTGGACGGTGTGTGGTGCAGACAGTACCATGATTGGACAGTGTGGTGCAGACATTTTTTTCCATTTCATTCCTGCAGCTCAGGGAACTGGCCCACCATTGCTTGTCCCTTGAAATACAGCAGCATTGAGCAGTGAGTGCATTATTCTATTCCATGTCATGTCCTCGTAGCTCATCATAAATGTCACGTATAGAGGAAATCCAGTCGCGTTTAGTGACACAGATTCCCCATTGGACTTCATCTTCTCCAGTAATGAGAATCACAGACGGTGGTGCGTTCAGTACGGCAAGCTGAGCAGACTCACACCGGGAGCACGGTGACTGAGAATAGCAGCGGGTGACCCAATAAAAAGAAAACACTCATTACGCTCCCCTGCGGCTCGTCACATGTAATCAGCCATCAGAGCTGCCTCTGCAGCATGGAAAACCACAAAGTATAGCGTGCTCGAGGCATGAATGTGCGGGGAAGTCACATCACCAAATGATAACCCAGCACAGATAGCAGTCCTCTCACATGTATGGTGAGCTCAGTCCATAGGACGGGGCTTGTGTCAGAGGAGAAGGTTACATAGGCACTTTTATATGAAGACGGCTTCCATCTCAAATTCATCCCTCCCCTTTCCAAATATGAATCTTATAGAGCACTCGGTCCATAGAGTCTGTCTATATTTACCATCTGCCCCCCTCTCTGAATTCTAAGTTACTGGAGAAGGTCCATTATCATACCCATAGGCTGTATCACAGTATATAGCTCTGACATATTCCACAGTGCTGTACAGAGAACAGAGTACAGAGAATTCACTTGTGTGTCTGCACCAGAGAAGCTCACACTCTAATGTCTCACCGCATTCACATAATATTATTATACATGTATATAGCTCTGACATATTCTGTAGTGCCGTACAGTGAACACTGAGCCAGCCACATCAGTCTTTTTAGCAGGGGAGCTTACACTCTAATGTCCCCACCTATCACACACTATTATTATACATTTATATAGCTCTGACATATACCGCAGTACTGTACAGAGAACACTGAGCCATTTACATCAGTCATTTTAGCAGAGGAGCTTACACTCTAATGTCCTTACCTATCACACACTATTATTATACATTTATATAGCTCTGACATATACCGCAGTGCTGTACAGAGAACACTGAGCCAGTCACATCAATCTCTGCACCAGAGGAGCTTACACTCTAATTTCCCCGCCGGCAATCACCCAAGGTAATGGTACAGGAGTTAACTGGTTGTAATAGGTCATCTCCAGATTTCCTTGTTATAAAACAATCTCCTGCTTTTCAGTTATACCGGAGTTCCCTTTTAGCCTCCTTTTTTTTTTATTGTGACTGTTTCTTCACATGGGGGGGTGTCTAGTAGAGATGTAAATGATCCGGGGAGAGTCCTTACAGCGCTCAGCGGTAGAACTCATCCTTGTCTTTATAAAGCACAGCCGGCCTGTGAGACATTCACAGTCACTGAGATGAAATCTGCCTCCACAAGTATCCTGTTACTGGTAATAATGTGGAGCATGGAGTAAATTACAGACGACGCGCTCGCGTCCTATAGTTATCAGCGCTTTCTTCACATTTATTTCTACCAGCATGACACAGTCCATTCCAGAGCAGCAGACTCTCATTTCTGCAGAGTCTCTAATTGTGCTTACAGAAATTGTATATGTTTATTTGTTCATCGGGGTGCCGTCGTCACACTATGCTTGGTACATCATTCCACGCGATACGAAGGTACTTACCGGTATATGAATAGAACAGGGAGGGGCAACCTTGGCCATCCAGCTATGTTGAAGCTACAAATCTCATCATGCCTCTACCTCTGGGAGTCATGCCCACTGTGCTGCCTTTTACTGCCCAGTCACATCCAGGGGCAGGTCCAAGACAGCCTGGGCTCAAAGGAGCTGGGTTAAATGATGCTGGAGGCAGAGAAAAAAAGTACTGCAGTGATGATTTCTGGATTGAAGGTGAATATTGCAGCACAAGCTGTTTTTTTATTTTTTTTAGGGATGCACAGACCAGTGCCGATACTTGGCATTTTCATGAGAACTACCAGGGTTGCCACCGTTGCAGCTGGGACCGGGCTCTGGCACTCCACCACTGTCCTGAAATCATTAGTCTGTATTGTTTTAGAAAAACTGTCACATGACAATAAACAAAAATGTATCAATAATCGTACTTGTAAGTACTCTGCAAGTACCAGTACTCGTACTCGCAAAACTGGTATCTGTGCATCGCTTTATTTATTTTTATAAAAACAAAATCGTACATTAAAACTAGGGATGCACTGATACCGATACTAGTATCGGTATTGGTGCCGATGCCGGCATTCTGATTGGCCGGAAAGGCGGCGTAATGCTCCCTAGTCATCTCATGAATCATAATATTAAGAAACTGACCTTAAATCATTAGTTTGTATTGCTTTAGAAACAAATGTGACCTGTCCCTTTAAGAAAAAGTATCGGTAATTGGTATCGGCGAGTACTTGATCAAAAGTATCGGTACTCGTACTCGGTCATAAAAAAAAAAGTGGTATCGGTGCATCCCTAATTAAAACAGAGATGTACAAATCCCAGGAGCTCCGTGTGCTCCCTACAAATGACAGCCGCCTCCTAATTTTTTAATTTTTCTCTAGTGTAGTCTTGGAGCTCAAAAGTATCTGTACATGTACTCGTACTTGTACCGAGTACTGTACTTGGTATCTGTGCAACACTAGTTTTTTTTCTCTTTCAATGAGCTATTAATTTCAAAGCAAAACTCTGGGAAAATGAATCTTAACCCTTGCAGCAGGGATAGGGCTTGTTTTGGTCTGGGGAGGAAAATAACAAAGTTATACTCACCCAATCCTCGGAGACAGCCAGCTGTGACAGCGCTCCCTCCAGCGTCACGGCCAGCTCCGCCCAGTTGCTATTGTTTAATGACAGATCAGCGTTCGCAGGTCATTTGGCGACGCTAAACTATCATTACAACAGCCGCGAGATCACGGCTGGCTCCGCCCCACTTCGGCTGTCACTTCGGCTCAGTCGAGCCGAAGCATATGCCTTTGGCTCGGCCGAGCCACCTTGGCTGGCTCCGGGTGCTGTACCGGCTATAGTGAATAGCCCATACAGCAGCCCTTCTGTTCGACTGAACAGAAGGGCTCCGGCAGCCGAAGAGAGCCGAAGGGTCAGCTGAAGCTATGGCGTGAATAACCCCCCTAGACATAAAACAGAGACAGAACCCTGCTTAATATGTAGCTGTGAGTAAGAGTCTATATAAAATTCTGAATTGTTTTGTATATTTTACGTGGATTGTTTTCTGGAAATGATAAATACGGTCAGCATTTAAGATGATTTCATCCGTCGCAGCGTTCAGCCGCTCCTCTCGATAACAGCTGTGTCCGTGGAAGCCTCAAAACCCAACGCTCGGCGTAACGTATATTTATGAGATAAAGCAACACCAACCACCTGCTCTAAATACATCCATCTGCCTCCAGGCTAGATACAGAGCCGGCACTTTTTTCAGATTACCCCTCCGATCGATCCCAGCGTAGAAAAATAAAAATAGAGGAAATTACTAGCTGCGATCCGACTTGGCCGAATAATTGTTGATGTAGAAATCTGATAGCTATCTGGAACAAGAGAGCTCCAAAACAGATGTAATGACCACAGATATTTTCAGCACTCGAACGCATGATATGTGAGTACAGAAGGGGGACTGCTCCAACAATAATAATGTCCGCAGGGGTTAACCGACTTGTACTGCTGGGAAGCGGCAGCAGCCATTTTTTGTTGTGCAGTTGCATAGAGACGTTGGGGATTAATGGGAAAATGTGGCCACGGTATTGGGGTGTAAAGGAGAAGTATTGGGGAGTAAAATGTACTCTTCCCAATAGTCTGAGCTGGCGTGTGACACTGCGTGTGACTCCATAAATCGAGTCCCGCACCAAATACAACAATTTTTGCTGTTGTACGTTTAAAGCTGGTTATGATTTGATGAGTGCGTTTGCCATAGGTTTGCTTGTTGTATTTGGTGCAGGGACACACTGGGTGTTTCAGCTGCCGTTGTGAAGTGCGGGGTTCCTTGTGTGTCCCTGTACCTTTAAGGAGGTTGGGTTGCCTGCACACAATTCATCCTTTGCTATATATGCTCCAAAATGGAGGCTCTCAGAGATTTGCGTTAGGACCGCACTACACAGAGGGGCCTTGACGAGGCAGTGCGGCTTTCACATATTCTGCAGAAGACGTGCAATTAAGACCTCTGTTTCTGATCTTAGTGGTCAGACAATGTTTTTTGCATGCTGGCTGGTGAGTGTGCTGGGAAGTGTTTTAGCTATTGTATTGTTTAAAGGTGGTTGTGAATTGATGAGTTGGCATTTGCTATTCGTTTTCCTCCATTTGCTCGTGTTGCTTATCAGGTGGAAACAGACACAACTCTTCATAGCCCCTCATAGCCCACCCATAGTTTCTCATCTACACTTCCTTGTGCGAACTCCGGGGTTGTCTGACTCCAGATGCCCTATTTGGGGAAGGATTGACTAAGGCAAGGGTCTGTGTAATGGAAAGGATTTTGCACTTTCAAAAACATGCCGTCAGCAGCAGCGCCTATATTCTATCCTGGAAAAGCCTCTTTAATATGAGTCCTCCTCAAAGTCATATGTTAATATAGATGGAGCTACTTGCTGGAGCGCTTGCTTACATCTCTCGAAGACCGCGGTGGTGAAATGCTCCTACCAATGCTCCTCCAGGCCGACTTGGCGTTTTGTCTGCCTCATTTTGGGCACTCCTAGTCTTTCTCTTTCTTTCTAATAATTCAATATAATCCAACAGACAAAATGAGAACTTCTTGTAGTGGCTGAAACCAGTTTGGAAAGTTTAAAATTCAAGGTCCCCCTACCCCAAACCCCACCAGCATCTGCTCAGAACCTTCAGGCCCCGTTCACATTGAGCGATTTATCACGCGATTTTTGTAGCGATATCGCTCATATTTCCGCACTATATCGCTCTATGTAGCTTCACCAATACAATTCAATGTAGCTGTTCACATCTCGTCGCTCAATGTCGCTCAATATCGCTCAATATCGCTTGTAGCTCGTCGCTTCTACATGACCCTTTTTTAGAGCGATTTTGAGCGATATTGCTCCTGATTGCATACAGCCCAATAGGAAGATCGCGCGACACGTCGCTCAATGTCGCTCAATGTCGCTTGTCGCTCAATGTCGCTCAAAGTCGCGCGATTTGCATGTCGCTCAGTGTGAATGGGGTCTCACCTTCCACTCGGAAATTGTCTGTTTTTTCTATTCCTTGATGTCCAATTTTATTCTCTTGTCTAGAAAAGTGACCATCATGGAGGATCCCGATCAGAACATCCATCTGAAGAATCTATCCCTTCACCAGGCCAACACTGAGGAGGAGGCCCTCAATCTGCTCTTTCTGGGGGACACAAATCGCATGATAGCTGAGGTAAGCTGCTCAGACGCTTTGCTTTATACTGACTGTACAGGTCATCCTCCGCATAAAACAAAAATAGAGTAGAGGGGCAGATTTTGACAGCCTGACAGCTGCATGGGGCTGATTTCCAAAAACAATCGGTTATGTGCAGCATGCGCTGTGCAGAATGAAGAATGAGAGATGAGACTAGTTTGGTTGATGTGGACAGTATCTTCATTTTTTCCAGGTTGCCGGTTTTTTTATTTAGGTTCAGGGATGTGTTTGTATAATGTCAATGCAACAGGTACTCTAATGCCCCCCTTCTCAAAAGTACATATTCACCTTACTTTTGCTTTCCTGCTTAGCCAGGGAACAAAGAACATTCCTGGTTTGTCTAGTTTTAGAGACGTGTGTGGCTCATTCCCCTGATTCTCATGTAACAAATTTGGTGCTTAGTGATTGGCCCAATGCTGTCACATGGCCGGTAGATGGTCCTCAGCCTGTGCAAGCTCTGACTTCTGGACCTTGGACCTTGAGCTTTCTTTCCTCACCCTTGGTGCTAAACAGATCAGCAGGGAGGTGAAAGTAAGATAAATATATGATGCTGGGGAGTAGGGCATTAAAGTAAACCTGTTACTTTTGCCCTACACTTTGATAAAAGGTGAAGAACTTTGGTCATGTTGAAGACCTTTGCTTAACAAATACACTATATGGCCAAAGTTTTTGGACACATGACCATCATACCTATATGAGCATGTTGTACATCCAATTTCAAAACTATGTTCCACATAAAACAGAAATCACCAACTTGCGCAACTAGATCGATTGTTTATGGACTGTATCACGTGGCCCAACGAAGTACTGATAGGGTGGTCATAATAATCTGGCCACTCAGTGTATATTAATAGTCTTAAAGGAGCTCCAGTTATACCGGTGGGTAATCCAGAGAAGATGTATGCACTGATCCTGCAGCCTGGTTAGTCGAATAGGGAAACATCCATGTAACAGCACTGTAAAAAGAACATATGTTCTTTTTACAATACAAAAACTATGAGCATTAATATGGAGTTGCCCTCTTTCCTCTACCCTTGTCTTTAACAGGCTCCACTCTTCTGGGAAGACTTCAAATTTTGGAGTGTGTCTATGGGAATTCGGTACCATTCAGCCAAAAGATCATTCTTCAGGTCAGGTAGTGATGGTGGATGAGAAGACCGGGCTCTCATTCTGCATTTCAATTATTCCCAAAGGTGTTCAGTAGGTTTGAGGTCAGGGCTCTGTGCTGACCACTCACTTTCCTGCACACCAAACTGGCCAAATCATGTCTTTATGGAGCTGGCTATGTGCACAGGGGCACAGTTATAACAGTGACTGGCCTTGTATCAGCCCCGCCAACACCCAGTAGTTTTTTGCAGGCAGTTTGTAGTAGATGGGCCCGCTGGGTCCCTTCCACAGCTCTAATCCTTGTACAGACTATGTGCAACACAGTGATGATGTCACTACTCATTTTACATAATAATAACTGGGTTGGAAAGGGCAATGGTGCACATAAAGTAGATTTATAAAGCTTTTGTGTTTGGTTTTAAGCATCTCGACACCAAGGCATGCCAAGTATATACACTGAGCTGCACATGCATGGCTCAGTATACATTAAAAATATGGCTGGCTGGCAGGCAGAAGAAGGGCTTTTATTGCAGAAGAACCTGCCTACAAGTCTTTTTGTAATACTATATATTTATACTTTAATGCAGAACTCTGGACAAAACAAATTTGAACCCTTCAAGTGGGGCTATCCCGGTACTGCAAGGGTTAAGTGGGAGCTAAATAAACAAAGCTATACTCCCCCGAACCACAGTCTTGTCTTGTTCTTACACCACTCCCTCCAGTCCATCTTTTTCTCCGCTCCGGCAATGGAATGTCCTTTGGCACCCTCATGTCCTATTTACAGTTTAGAACGTGATGACTTACGGACCTTAGACCGCCAGAGTGGAGGGGGATCACGGCTGAAGGAAGAGGTCTAGAGTCCCATGAGTCCTCATGTTCTATACAGATGTCGAGGGACATTCCATCGCAGTTCAGGTGAGTATAACTTTATTTTAACTCCCTAGACAAAACGTGACATTAAAGTCTAAATACCCCATCCCTTCAACCAAATGCTGCTTTAAGGACTACCTTAAATGATGCCTCTTGATCCGATCCGGTCATCTTCTTCTTTCTAGTAGTTTTCAGGAGTCCCTCCAGCGCTCGTGCCGGTCTCTGATCCAGTACTGACTGCTGCGTCTTCTGTGTCCCACGGAGCCTGTGCGGGTGCACGCTGCTGCCTGCATTGATTTACCCTGTGTCTCTCCTCTTCTCCCCGCCGAAGATCTCTACTGCACATGCGCCCGCCCCATCATCCTTTGCGGCCGCCTAAGAATCTTCAGATCTTCGGACGGGAGCGAGCGGCGGAGACACAGGTAAGTTTTAACCTTTTTTTAATGTTTTTGCATATACCTACTGCTTGCTAGCAGTAGATATATGCAAAAAAAAAAGAAGGTTTAATTATACTTTAACCCTTGCACTGTAGGGGGTAGCCCCAGTACAAGGGTTAAAGTGACATTAAAGTCAAACTTGTTTTTCCCCCCTTCCCAATTCTGCTGTAGTGACTTACCATAAATGATGTCTCTTAGTCCGATCATCTTCTTCTTTCCTGTAGTTTTTAGCTGTCCCTCCAGCGCTGACTCCTCTGTCCTCCTCTTCTCTGCTGTCCCACGGTGTCTGCATGCGGGTGCACGCTGCTCTATAGACTTACCTTGTGTCTCTCCTCATCTCCCAGCCGAACATCTGAACTGTGCATGCTCCCGCCCCCAGATCCTTTGCGGCCGCCCGAGAAATTTTCAGATGTTCGGAAAGGAGCGCGCAGGAGACACAGGAAGGTATTAACCCTTTGGAAAAGTTTCTTTTTTTTTAATCTTTTGCATATATCTACTGCTTGCTAGCAGTAGATTTATGCAAAACGTGCAAGGGTTTAATAACCCTTTAAGTTCTGCTTCCTTTTGTGACCTGTACTTACGGAGCAGAAGTAGGTAAGAATCTGTTGCAAATGTTTATCAAAGTCCTTGCAATAAATAAAATGGTCCTGGAGAATATTGTTTTAAGCAAAAGTAAAGTTTGACTTTATATGCATTATATAAAGGTGAGCGTTGAATCCCCAGCATTTCTTCTGCTGGCGGTTATTCACTCGTTTATCAAATACGAATGCAGTTCAGTCGCCGTTCCTGTAGTTTGTTTTCCAGTACAGAACAATTTATAGTTCTGTGAGTTTCCTCTGAAGATCTTTGATTCTCTACCTTCCGTGCCTTCTCAGTTGATATTTACCCTCGGTGGAATAATTAGTGTTTTCCACCGGAATGGAGCATGCTGTGACCCAACCCTACCAGCTATTTCTATTTATTTATATTGTAAGACATGAAATTCTCCCAGGTGACACGAGCACAAACGTTTCTCATAGAACAGCTCTTCTGATCATTAACATATGTGGCTTTTTGGAAGATCCAGCATAAAAGTGAGAGGTGGATTTATTCTCCATGTTACAGACCTCATAGTGTTCCAGTCGGATTGCTTGTATGTGTACTGAATCGTACCTCGTTCACGCTGTGCTGGCACTGTTAAAACCGACCTCCGCACAGCAGGGGCGTAACTAGAAATCACAGGGCCCCATAGCAAAATTTTGTATGGGGCCCCGTGATTTCTAGTTATACCCCTTGCAGAGCCCACTCGAGATAACACCTGAAGGTGAACCTGCAGAGCCCACCATAGACTCTCTATGGTGGGCTCAGCAGGGTCACCCTCAGGTGGGCTGGTCGCACTCCTTACCTGTCCACCTCCTGTTCGTCCACGGTCGATGATGGGCCCCGCCTCCTTCGTCACCGCGCCCCGCCTCCTCCCCTGCTGCCGACCACGGGCCTCGCCTCCTCCTCCACTTCCGGGTCCAGCCTGCTCCACCGCCACTGCTGGCTCTCATTGACTCTGTGGAGAGGAACGCGCTGCTGCACAGATTACTGTCAGTGATCTGAACAGCGGCGTGTTCCTCTTCAGCCGCCAGTGAAAGCCACCAGCAGAGGATCCCAGACGGCCGGCACGGCATCTGGCATCTGGCCTGGGTTGCTATGGTGATTGTTACGCCACTGCCGCACAGATATAAAACATTCAGTGGAGGCAGTATAGGTTCCTGAGTGGGACCTTCAATTATCCTCTTGCAGTCTCTGTACAGCAGAGCTTAGATTAGGAGAGGAAGAAGCAGCACACTGTTTGATATACCATTGTAAGCAATTTGTTGATCCTGTTGATTTTAGGGCAGTAGAGTGGCTTAGTTGTTAGCACTTCTGCCTCGCAGCACTGGGGTCCCTGGTTCATATCATGTTTGTTCTCCCTGTGCTTCTGTGAGGTTCCTGCAGGTAGCCAGTCAGGACACTGTAAAGATGAAGAAGATATTCATCAAACATGGGATGATGGCTGGCCCTCACCATGGAAAGGCGTGATGCTTTGCAAAAATTTCGAGGCAGCCCTGAGGAAGCCAAAAGGCATCCTGGTTGAGAAAAACTGGTCTAGGGGGACCTAGTTCTCCCGCACCTAATGTAGTCCTCTGCTCCTTAGATGTGGGCAGGCTCTTAGCGTCCTGATGTACGGACAGGCTGCGACCAGAGAAGAGCCAAGGAGAAGTGGCTTTGTTGGACTGGTCATACAGCGGGGTGGAAGCATGCAGGTAAGTATTGTTGCTCACTCATTACTCCCTAGGCTTTTACCCAAGGAAGGGACAGCGGGGCTTATTAGCATTTTTTAAATTCAGATTAGAGTTCAGCTCCAAAGTTAGAGTCAATTTCCTGGTTGCCAAACCATCGAAGGTTGACCAATACAGCAGAAGGTGCGAGCACGTACCAATACCCCTGTCCTCATATTCATGCTCTTATTCTCTCTGCCTTATGAATTCAATGGGTTACCAATGAGGTCATAGTCAGGATCATTAATTCTTGAAGACGAGGATTGCATCTCTCCTC